TTATAGTCTCGTGGACTATAGGGGAGGGAAACGACCTGTTTGAACCTGGGGGATGCACCAAACATTACGTTGATCATTGTAACACCAACCAGACGATCAACACGCCATAGTACCTTAACTGGAAATCACAATCTTAATGTCCACTGGATCAGCGTGTGGAACGGCTTCCTATGAGAAACAGCATATAACAGGTTATGGTGCCAGATACCATGTGGCCTTGTTTAACTGCCTTCATATGGAGTTGAACCGGTATCTTGTGATTTGACCTGTGGAGTGCTAACCACTGCACTATGGACCCACAGGTCTGACAAAAATTAATTTTGATTAAATTAATAAAGAAATTTATATATAATTTTATATATTGTTTTGTTATATAATTTGACATTTATTATAATATTATTTGCATTATTTTGTATTATTATAATTTTTTATTTGATATTTTTATATTAAAAATTCATCATTTGGTATTGTTATATTTAAATTTGTCATGCTATATTCGTTATTTAGTCTTATTAAATAAAAATTTGTGTATTATATTAAAATTCATTCACATTTAGTAATTTGGAGTTAAATGATGACTTTTGTTAATTTATGTTTAATATTTGTCAATTGAAATGGCAAGGAAATATTCAATCTCAGCTTTACTTAGTGAAAGTTAAAAAAAAAAACCTAAAAAAATGAAAGTTATTTGCAACTGTAATAAATATAATAAATTACTTGTTGACCCACGAACAGAGTTTTTGTATAGATTCCAAAAAACAAAAACTAAAAACTTGATAGATCAAAAATTTATTATTTGACAAAGAACTAAGAATATTTTACTAAATCGAATTATGGCTTTAAGCAATAATTAACAAAATTCAATACCAAATGATATTAATGTTAAAAATAATGAATTTGAATCTGAAATTAAAATATCAAATCTGAATCTGAAGTTAAAAATAAATTTAATGGCAGTTCTAATAACATTTTGAAAATTATTCAGCTCCTAATTATGAAGTTTTACCACATTTTAATAAATTTTCTGATAATCATTTTATATAAATTTTATTATGGATTTTGAACTTTAAAATAAGATTTAATTTGTCAAATACTGCAATAGAAGCACTTATAAAATTCATGAAGTTGGTATTAATTAAAATTGGCAGCAGTGAATACAAACTTTTTTGTGAATTATTATACATGGCCAAAAAATTACTTGAATTATTGGATCAATTCATTAATTTTGTAGCATATCAAAAATGTCACAAATTATATAAACAAGATAATATACTAAGTTTCTGAAAAAACAATTGGCTATTAATAATGAAGTATGTTTATATCAAATTTTCAAATTCAACAACTTAAAAAAGAATTTGCAATACTCTATTATCTATACAATCCAAATTATTAAATAGAAGCATTAACCAGCCAAAATTAATTTTCCTTATGCAACTATTTGATAGCAATTATTTCAGATATATCAAAATTCAAATTTTGAATTTAATCTTTAGCACTAGGTGAATAGATCAAATATTGATAAATTGTTATGTGATATTTATAATGACAATATTTGAAAAACTTTTAAGAATGGAAATTCTAGATTATTTTTTAGTAAATAAATAGCTGATTTGTATTTAGGGTTGATATTGAATATTGACTGGTTTCAATTATATAATAACAAAATATATAATATTGACATTATATATGCAGCCATTGCCAATTTGCCATATAATATATGCTTTAAGCAAGAAAATATGCTGATTCTTGGTATATTACCAGGTTCCAGTAAACCAAGCTTATACAAAATAAATCACTATCTTGCACCAATTGTTGATAAATTGCAACTATAGCAAGAAATAATGTTAAAATTGACTGCTGAAAATAAGAAAGAAAGAATAATTCGAATGGCTTTAATTTTAGTTTCATATGATATTCCTGCAGTATGCAAAGTATGTGGACACATTTCAGCACTAGTATCTTATCACCATTATAAAAAAAAAGCTAACTATGTGAATAATCAACATAACTTTGGTGGCATAAAAAATATGAACAAATAGTTTATATCAAAAGATTTGACAACACATATACAATATATTACTGAATGGAGAAATTGTGATACAAATGTGGTACAAAAGTGTTTTGTCAATGAGAATCTAGCTAGATAGTCTGAGCTTCTTCACTTATTCTATTTTGATCTTTCACATATTTTTTAATTCTTTAAGGTTTGACGAGGCAGGTGATTTTTTATGAATTGCCTTTTTCATTTTATACTATAAATTCTCTATAGGATTCAAGTTGGGACTCTGGAGGGCCATGATAATTTTTTGATTCTGTGAGCTTCGCAAATGGCCGTGGTGACTTTCAACTTGTACGGCGTTGCATTATCCTCCTGAAAAATACCATGGCATGAAAAAAATTTTTGTATGGTGGGTACGACATATTTTTTAATGGTTTTAGCATGTGCAGCATCAGTAACCAATCCATAGAGAGGAACAATAGGACCTAAGCCACCATAAGCGAAGCATCTCCAGAACATTAAGTTTGGATTGTGTTTCACCAAAGCAGAAATACAGGATAGCTTAAGTTCTTCATTTGCTTCTTGCCAAATTCGATCATTACATTGGAATAGGATAAATGTGAATTCGTCTGAGAATAAAATTCTTTTCCATTGCCAGGGTTTCTAATGTTTATGTTGGAGGGTGAATTCTAAATGTTTTTCATGGTTCGTTTCAAAGATATACAGTTTTGGGCAGGACCTGCAAGATCGAAGTCCTATTTTTTTTAGGTTCCGTTTAATAGTGATGGTAGAGATAGTTTTTTTAGTACATGCTAATCAGACATTTCTAATTTTTGTGACAGACAAACAATGATTATTTTCTTTGTCATTCATAATGAGATCCTTGAGTTGGGCTTGATCAAGAGAGGTAAGAAGCAGGGGTCTGCCTAGTGATTTATTCGGAATAACTGTTCCAGTTTTTTTAGAGTGTTTAATGATGTCATTAACCATACTTTTTTCACATCCTAGCCTGCTGGCAATAGTTCGATTTGTATCACCTCGAGCGTTCCCGTATAAGATCACGCCATATTGATCCAAGGACAAAGGTTTATTCATATTTATAGCTATCGCGTTTATAGTCAAATCATGAGTTTATTTAATATAAATAAAAGAAAAAAACCTGTATTATATACAGTTCGTCTAAAAGTCTTTGAACAAATTTTTAATTTATATTTTTATTTATAATTCAATAAATAATTTATAAAATAAAATAAAATTTTAAATATATATT